TCATCTAACTGCGTCGTCCGTGTAGAGAAACAATTCCGAAAAGTGGCTCTAAAACCGGCAATGCGCTTTTTACGTTCGGTTTTTTACGTTTTCCAGCGAGCGCGCCCGCAATTACCAGACAATCGCAATAAGATTTGTAAGAGGAAAAGGGAGGCTCGAATTTCCTGCGGCGGATTCCGTGTTGCGTTATCGTGCGCAGAAAACTGGTATAAACAACGGACGGTACACACACTGTGCTCGACTTATGCGTCGAGGATAAGTAAAGCTTTTTACGATGCGATAAAATACAAGCCGCAACGAAAACCGTCCGATCTTTCCCTGCAAGATGATAAAAGAAGAAGCCCGGCCATTGCAACCGGCTAGGATGAAACATTCGAGATTCGTCGAAGACTTTTCGCGATACTTTTTACGCGCGTTCCCTACGCTAGAATCAACAGTGTTTTCCTATAATCCCCCGTAATGCGTTTTTTTTTATAGGAAAAAGTTCTTGTTACATTGCCCTCTGCGAAATTCGGATATCGAACTAATACCGAGCTATTAAAACTATACTGCTGCAAATCTGCAAAATTTGTCGCAGGAAGGTGTAACGAGAGGAAATAAGATGTAGTAACAAAAATGAAAATACTAGGGGATCCTACATAGGGGACAGCTATGGCCTAGTTTCCAGGATGATCCTGTAAACACGAGGGTTTATAGATCGACCCAATATGTTGTACCACGCGAGAGTGTCGATCGAATTCGTCCCCCCCCCCCCCTCGCCCGACCCCTCGGTTCGACAATGGTGGCTGGAAGCGACCAGAAACGTGGAACAGGCGGGAACAATGGGAAGGGGGGCAAAAGGCAAAGGGCGAACGGAACGGGTCAGAGGTCGAGACTCGACAACGGGGTGGAGGAGGGCGTCGGTGGCGAGAGAAGAATGATAAACTTACGACACGTACGCGGGAATCGTGTTTCGTCGGGCTAGGTCAGGGCAGCCGTCGTGAATAGAACGGCCGTGTGCCGATCGATTTTCAGGAAACAGAGGGATACCCCGGCCAGCAACTGGATTAAGCTTTTAGAAGTCGAAGCCAGCCCATGGTTCTCGTTACACGTAGTCCCGACCCTTATTTCGTTACAGCCTCGAGTAATATCGCTGCGTTTCGCGAACGAGAGCTTTTACAGAAGAATCCACTGTTCTACGAAGATTGTTAACCCTTTGTTTCGAACTCGATTCGATTAACAGCTGTTCGAACGACTGTACTACTGCTTCTGCCGTATTTTCTGTCTAGAAAGTGCTTCCTTTCTCTGTACAGCGAACACTTTTCGACACTGCTTTTGACATTCGAATACGGTGAATTCTACGTTATTTATACAATTCCGTCCTAGTTCTTTCGAATTGTGTATCTACTACTTGGAACCGAGACAACAGTGCGTTAAACAAGGTATAAGTATGTAATCAAACTGTACCGGAAAAATTAATTGGTAAAAATGTTACGGTAACTGAAATCGTTTTAAAAAGTTCGTCCACATTCGAGAATGCTCTTTGCTCTCGGCTATTTCGTCGAGCTGCGGCCGAATTCATTTAATATCTTGTTCGTATCATTAAAAACGCAGGAGGCCTAATGGATTTCGCGCAAATATTTCACAAGGCCCCTGGAAATCGGAACACCGGCGTCATTACTACTGCCAGTTATCCCGCAGTTTGTGACAAGAGAACGCTACCCTTTCTTTCCCGACTCTATCTCTGTTCGAACGCTTCGTTTCTACTCGAAAAATCGTAATGTTTGTCGAGAACAGAATAGTAATTCGGCACGTTTCGTATCAATGACTAAAAATTTTGAAATTCTCTGGACCTATTTAAAAAAAAAAAAAACGGGTCCCCGTCGAAATTGAATTTCCTCCTGGGGAAAAATTCGATTTCCTTCGCTAAGAAATGAATTTCCTCTTGAACCCAACCCGGGTTACCGTCCCTTCGTTTCGGATGGAAAAGCAGCTTCAGCGAGAAGCAATTTAATAGGTAGCGGGTTTCAAGGGCAGGAATAATGTTACTCGAGGCTGGAGGCTCCTCGTTACGCTTCACGCTTAAGCGGTACGTTGTCGTCTTGTAAAAAATAACCCAGACCCGGTGGCGTCGGTGGCTGCCACGTCTTCCAAGAAAATAACAACCAGGGTGGAAAACTCGTTAGCCCGATGAAAAATACCAAATGCGAGTTCGCGCGCACGCGGCCAATCCGTCGCTACCGCGGAAGGGGGTGAATAAAAAATTCTTCGGATATTTTCCGGATGATAAAGTAACGGGTGAATGGCATTCGGTGAAAATTCGTCGACCGACCCAGTTTTTCGGACGAGAACGCGCGAAATCCTTTATGCTCGCGAAACGAACCAACGTTTTCGGTGGGCCGCGAAAGTGTCTCTCTTCGTTTGCGATCCTTTCGATGGAAAACCGTCGCCATTCACGTACTATACGAACCAATTACGCGTCGACTTTTTCCGTGATTTTTCGAACATGTGGAATAATTTGGAATTAATTCCATGGATTCGAAGCAATTCTGTGCTATCTGTTGTTTTATGGTTCTTTCGTATAATTACAGCTTCGTAATAATGTAACACGGTACCCGTACTCGCAACATTATAAAATGTACTGCTCGTCAGAGCGGCGCGGCGGTACGATAAAAGTTAAAAGTATGGAAAGCTGTCGTGGGTATAGCGTAGAGTACAAAGTCGGCTAACGCGTGAGAGCGACGGTGGTATATAAAAAAAAAACCATGTGTTGCTTTCCCTGTAATTATACACACCGGACTATCGAAAGCTAAGACATTTAAAAAAGAATCGTGTGTTCCGAAAGAAAGGACGTTCGACGTAACTCCCACGATCTCTCTATACGTATGTATTTCGACAGATTCATCGAGAAGTCTGCCGTGGACTGCCACGGAGGATTCGTTCGGTCTAAACCTTTTCGAACCGATTGAAACGATCCGAACCCCGCGCCGAGTGGAAACTGTTAACGAACTCGGCGAATGAATCCAACGTGGCTTCGCATAAATTCCCCGCTATCGCGAAAGAAGGAAGAGAAAAAGACGAGAAGAAACGATAAAAGAATCGGCAAACCCGAGACGGAGGGGACAGGATCGGTGCGTTAAAGCGAGAAACAGACAGAGGGTGGTTGAAAGACAAATAGAAAAGAGAGAGAACAACGGGACGGAAAGGGTCCCTTCCCTTCCGGCCGGTTGATTATTTAAATAGCTCCGACAACGGGAGAAAAAGAAACTCTGTAAGGGCGGAGAGACGGGACGAGGGCGAGGGCGAGGGCGAGGGTGGTAGCCAGTCGATCGAGAAAACCTTTTATTTTCTTTATCGGCGACGGAAAAGAAAGAGGATTCGCGTCGCGGCTCGTATACATCGACATATGCATATGTATGTGCGCGCCAGGATGGTGGGTGTAATTTGTACGCGTATCGGAGTGTCCCGTAATCCCCGCGAATCCGGTGAAACGTGACCCGCGGGTACGATTTTTACGCGAGGACATTCATTCGGAGAGCAAAACCGAGCCGCGCTATTGTATCACCCATCGTACCGAAAAGGGAATTCAAAATGCGTCGCTGCGCCGTTCCAATTGCTGGTGCTGACTGGAAATTAAAATGTTGCCGGGATTTTTGGTTGCGATTTTGCTCACGGTCCGCCGCTTTTCCGAATGCCATTTCCCGAGTGGAGTAACCTGGGATTAACCTTACGTCTGACCAGCGGCCGTCCGATACTACCTGCGACGACTTCCGTAGCCAACTAAGCAAATTAAATTGACTGCCAAAGATCGCTACTACACACTTTAATTGTATGGCCATTTTTTTTCATTGGTTATGTTGGAACAGTTCGAGGGAGTTGTTGGACTCTGTTCACGACTGGTCGTTCGAAAATTCATCAAATGCTTTTAAAGTGCCGTCGCGTTGGCTCGAGGTCGCTACGGCTGGTGCTACAGTAGCTGGGCTTGCAAAGCAAGCAACGAGCTCGCGAAACAGCCTCTTCCCAGCCACTTAGAGTTCTTTCAACGAGACCTTTAATCGCGACTCGGTTTCGTTCCGTTCCATTCCATTCGAACCCGACAGACAGCCACTCGTTATACCTACGTCCACTTGTCTCTTTCTTAGCCTGCTTTTCTATGATTGATTATCGGTGAATCACGGGAAAGATAGTAAGAATAGTAAAGCGAAGAAAAATAGTAAGCTAAATCCTCGATGAGGGTTCGAAAGCTCCTCGACACTAAACATGAAATATTTCATAAACTAATGGCCATATGCGGCTGAAACAAACATCATTGGCTTCAGAATTGCAAGTTCTAACATTGTGCTAACCGACATTACAAAGTCAGCGTTACACCTGACGATCTCTCCTTGTCAGCGCCGAGGAGCCTTCGAACACTCATCGAGAATTTACTCTATTCAAAAATGGAACATAATACACGATCAGGTGTCTGACTTAGCCCTGTTTACGCCTGACAAACACTCCTTCAGGAATTCACGAAACGCGTGAGAATCATCCTCCCTCATTTCACTGTATTTCATACATTGGGTAACATCATTCTGCGATGGTGTTTCGCAAACCCTTACTTACGATACGTGTTCCTCTGCACAACGACGCAAACCTATCCGGGTGCGATTCACCCCCGTTTACACGCCCATCCTCTTCCCTTTACGTAACAATTATCCAACAGCCGACTGCATCCCTCGTGCATCCAATGTCTCGCGACGAACGAACCCGGTTCTCGCTTTCTAACCCTCCCCTGTCCCACACCCGGCGGCAAGAGTAAGTACACAGCCGGAAGGTGAAAACAATAGCGTCGAGCGAGCAAGGCTGGATTAATCGACGAGCGTTGGCGGTGACGTTTTAAAGGATGGAGATGACCACGGAGAATGGACACGGAACAACAGCTCGTAACATCGGTGGTAGCCGTGCTCGGACGTAACCGGTACATATGTACGACGATTAAGACGAAGCTTACATAGACACGACGGTGGTGCGCGACTTACCTCGAATGCAGGGCGCAGCCACGTTGCACTGTGGGGTAACTAGAGGACACCGGCGGAGGCGGAGGCGGAGCGCAATAAGCCGGTGGTAGCGGTGGATCATGTCTGTGGAGATTGTTATGCCGGTGGCTGTGGGAATAGCTCAGGGAACCTCGTAGACTCCCGGGCAGCTGACGATGTGGCGTCGACTGATCGCTGGAACCACCAAAATGAAATTTTCTTAACGTTCTCATCCCGCTCCAACGACTTATATATGGGAAATAACATTTTTCGAGACGTTCTTAAAGGTTGATGTATACTATAACGCGTCGCTCGAAATTATTATTCTCCATCCGACCAGTATGAAGCGTATCATTTACAGATTTGAACGTACATCCGGATACTTTTCAAATGCAAACTAGATTAGATATTCGAAACAATTGGTGGAAGTCGGATGTCGAATGTTAATCGGAGTCGTGAATTGCTACGATAATTAGTACTTGATACCAGTCGTGAGATTATCAGGAAAAATTAAGTCATGATGATACGATACATGTTAGAAACGTTACTTATTGATTTTGGAGAAACTAAGATTTGATCGATATTCATTACATACGTATGGAAAAGTTTTAACGGTGAACGAAGGGGTCTGTCTTACTGATGGTAGTCGAAATGGAACCCTTAAAATCCGACGTTTACCGACTACATATATTATAATAAATTTTGTCGGTAAGATAGGGAATGATACTCAAATGGTAAAAATCTTTTTTTGACAAAAATGATGATTGCGAAAAGAATTTTTGGCGACTCGAAAAAAAATAAGCTATTTTGAAAATTCCATCCAATTCGGAGCATGGGGGTTTTCGGAACGACAGCCGAATTTCCTGTTCACTGATCCCTAGTTTACCATTCGGAGGTACAGTAGGAACCTGCGTGGATCAATGGCGAATAAGGTTACCCTAGAAAGGTAAGCAAAGAAAGTAATTTCTTTGTCGCTAAAATAAACTCCAATCTGTTTCCAACGTTCCTTGCAAACAAAAATACTATATATGTACATATGTATCAAAGGTCGTTCAAACTGATTGGACAGGAACTTGCCCACGATTATCAATTGTATTTAGAACCGTCTACAAATCGTATCATTGATAACCTCATCGGGCATCGATCAGTTTATCTGGAACTGATAACGATTGATTGAAATTAAAAATTTGTAATATGTTAACATTGAATTGGATCATCATTTCCGAACGTAAAAAGAATCGATCGTTTGTCATGTCGCATAGTGTACCCATAGACAACCATAGATAAATCTCGAAATAGATTCAGAATATTTAAATTATTTAGATTAGTCGAAGCAGTATAATACATCGTCGAAGCTGGTTATCGATTTGTTTGTTAGTTCGCAACACCCCAATTCGATTTCACACCTGCTAAATAATTACGCACAAAAGAACTCTCGTTACATCCGGTGACGGCACGGTAACCCACCTGGACGCTTCGACAGGACGCACGAATTCCCACGAACCTGTGCTCCAGATAGCGCTTCGAATACCCGAACAAAATGTTACAATTCTAATGAAAATGTGATACAAAGCAAATTATCGTGGCACTTATTTCGTATTAATCATTTGCCTTTAATTTATTAATAATCTTCTTTTGATAAAAAGAAAAGAAATTTTTCATTCTTGAGAGTTACTATACACAATATACATATACCACGGTTACTGGTTCGAAAGTCAGTGCATTAACGTTCGACTTCTAGATTCCGATGACTCTGTCGTTTTCGAATACTTCACGGTTCCCTGCTCCGAGGACGTCCAATACCGTGACCGTCCAACCAATTTCAAGTACGTGCTACGCGTTATCTGGATCTCGATTTCGCGACTATTGTTGCGCGAGTATAATTAAAACTTCATACCGCAGTATTACAGTCATTGTCAACGAATAGAAAAAAAATTCCGTTTCCTCCCAAGCCAATCCATTCCAACGAATCACTTTTACAAGTGTCTATAAACGTCGCTAATGTTATACAATTAACAGTGAACGGTGGTCGATGATCGTATAAAAAAAGAAACAAGTGTGTTAGGAGGCGGGCCGCGTACAACGGTTTAGTTCCACCGAGCAAACGATTTTATCTACCATCTACCGTCTACAGTCTACACAGTCTACGTGAAAACCAGTGTGAGACCGGAAGTGTCGAAAGGGCTGACTAAAGCCTCCTTCGCAACGGTTGCATTCTTATCTAATAACCAAACACTTCAACGCACCGATATCACGACGCAGGTAGATAAAAAAGGGCTGGTATGGTATCGGTATGCACAGAGGGGCCCTCGTAAACTCGTAAGGGCTTCCAAGTGGTGCTCGCATCTACTCGGTCCGTCACCAGAAAAGAATTATGAGATAACCAATAAAATCGGTAAATATATGACGCGTTAAGACACTGTGTCTTTGATGTTCGCAGCTTTGAACACCGAATGAAAGAGCACCGTCTGAAGTCGAAAGTTTACTCGGCGATTCACACAGTGCCCTTTTTTAACTGCACACACACACACACACACACACACACACACACACACACACACACACACACACACACACACGAGATACAGACGCCCATATGCTTGGTGCTTGAATGATTCTTACACTTCGGCTCGTAAATGACCGTGTTACAAGTAGGGAGAATTATTGGAACATCGTGTACTAATTACAAGTTGAGCTTATATTTTCCATTTAACAGGTCAATAACGCTAAAACAATATATAATATAATTAATGCATTTATTGGTACAGACACGAGTGTACGATGCATTAAATTACTAGTGGCATGCACACATTTCGGAGCACCCTGTGCAACTAGGTTACAAAATGGTTTCACTGAGAACGACCAAATTACCAAAGTCGATCCTGAACGCGCTTCTATGTATGCAATGTTGGGGCTAGCAACGTCGCGGAAACTAGATCCCTGGCAAATAAATTACACCGGCTTAACCTCTAGACTTAGATCCTCGAAAAGACGCTCAAAGAGCCCGCGCGCGTTTCAATTAAAGAGAAAATATGCTAGCGAAATATGGCAAAGTTAAATATCGCCGCGTTCTACTGTTTTCTTATAACTATAACGCGTTGGATCGAGAAAATGGTGGTGATTATTCCAAAGTAGCAACGATTGCGATTGAACAGCGATCGAGATTAGGTTCTCGAGGTCATTGACGATTCGAATCGATCCAAGATTAATCGGCATCATCTGTGAGTATCCTTTATCGTCGCTATCTCACGATAAACGTATTTGCACGTCTTATCTTTGCGTTATTCGGTACAATAAAGCGATTTTCAATTGGACTCGATTTCCTCATCGACGAGAGGCGTCGAGAGTGCAATATTAAATACAGGGAACGGATGTTCGTCGAAGTTTCCGTAACGAAGAGGGAAAACAAACACACGATAATATTAATAACGAAACGAAAGATAAACACGGTGCTCGAGAACATTTTACCCTGTGTTCCAGAATACGAATACAAGCAAGGAAACGAACGTGTCTGAAACCGAAACGTTTCGAAAGACCCGGTAGATTGCCAGGAAAAAGGCGTCCAACAATTCTCCAAACGATTAAGCTCCGAAAATGTTCATTTTCCATGGGGCCAGTTCAATTAAACGCTGCGGTTTTTATCGATAATCATGATCGCGTAACCACGGTGCAGCGTTAATTACGCAAACGAGGGTAAACTCGCGAGCGGTGTCACTCTATACTCTATAGGGAAGGATGATCTTTTGAAAGCCGTTGCTTCCGGTCCCACGATCTTGACTAACGAGGAAAGAAGAAGACGAAGAGAAGAAGGAAATGCGATGATGAAGGCCGAAACAGAGAAAAAAAATGCAACTTTGTAATACGACTTTGCCAGGGAAATATCATTAGTGTCGCATCGCGTCGAATTCGCTCCAGGAGCAGCTAAGAAGGTAAATTCAAGTCCCTAGAGTACCGAGGACTTTTGCGTTCCGGTATTATTTAAAATTACCTGGAAACTCTCGCCGTCGACGCTTAAAAACAGGGACCAAGAAGGAGTTTACCGGTTCTAAACGATTATGCAAGTACTGTAGACGGTGAACAACAATGAACTCGGGCTCGGTTGACGTACAAAATTTTCACAACACTTTTAGCCTGGCGAACTTGTGTTTCCTTAAAATGTAGTAGAGTATCAGAAACAACAGGAATACACTTTCACTATTGGTATATTGCTTTGGAATTTTTGTAAATTTCAAAGTTAAATGCGAGCCCCATTTCTACGCCAATGCATATCACTTACTTCCTTTGCCCCGGAAAAAAACATCCTTTATTAACATAGCATTGAATTGCTAATTAGTTACGAAGCAAACGCTTATTCAACGTTCGGTGTTTCTCTATCGCTGTTTTCAACTTTATCAATTTTTTTTTAAAACTCGTATAAGATGAAAGATACGCTTTCAAATAGAATTCCGTTTGTAGGTCGACGTTGCGTGCATTTACATTAAAACATCCGACAGTCATACGTTCTCGCGAATGATTCGAAAAATTGTCAAAAACACTCTATATCAATGTAACGAGCTGAATATTATTTATAAGTCAAAGGATAACGAACTAATTTCTTATGAAGATTTTCATTTTCTACCCGTACGATACAACCACGGAGAGAAAAACAGATGAAGTATCTAGAAAAGTGCTCGGAAGATTGACGATTTGGATATCCTCCTGAGAATCATTTCTCGTGCATCTTACTCAATTTCAACGTTTTTTTTTTTATTTAGATTCGCATAAAATCACGTTCCATCGTTTTTTTTCCCCTCAGAAACCGAAGAAAAAGACAACGAAACAAAGGCGGTAATTGATGGTGCGGTGAGTGATTTGGATATCCTCCTGAGAATCATTTCTCGTGCATCTTACTCAATTTCAACGTTTTTTTTTTATTTAGATTCGCTAAAATCACGTTCCATCGTTTTTTTTTCCCTCAGAAACCGAAGAAAAAGACAACGAAACAAAGGCGGTAATTGATGGTGCGGTGACCTTTTAACTTTCTACCTATTTTTCTTAATTTTCCTCCATTACAGTTTTTTCCTGCGCGTGAAGCAAAACTTTCTTCGCTCCGAGTAAAATTCTCTTTCACCTGCATATATTTTCGAAGTTCGCGTTCTATTTCACCACGACCGCCACAATCGAAAGAATATGTAGTTACAGTTTGTTAAGTTGGT